TTTGCAACCATTTCTACTGTAGGAGGGGGCCCCTCAAGAAAACCAGAATTATCTTTTGGAGGGTGGCCCCTTGTAGTACACTTGGAATTGGTTCCTCCAGATCAAATGGTCAACAAAAGTGCTTATCTGGAAGTTTTGAGAACGTTGCATCATGATTTGCAGAAGAAACGTCCCAAGTTATGGCAAACAGGTGACTGATTCTTCCACCATGGCAATGCACCTGTCCACACTGTGATGAGTGTTTAGCAGTTTTTGACCAAAAGCAGCATGACCCCTGTGCCTCATCCTCCTTATTTAACTGATCTTGCCCAAGTGACTTTTTTTTTTGTTTATTTCTCTGGATGAAAAAGTTCTCAAAGAGAAATGTTTTGATGATGTGGAAGAGGTGAAACAAAAAATGGCAGAAGCGCTAAAAGGCATCAAAAGTGGTAAGTCCAAAAACTGTTTTGAGCAGTGAAAAAAGCAAAAAAGCATCTCGATAGGTATTTTGCATCAAACACAGAGTACTTTGAAAGTAACTGAAGTCCAAACATGTAAGAATAAATACACAATTGAAAAAAATAAATTCTAGAATTTTTTTGTTTTCGTTTTTTGTACCTCCCCCTCATATTAATTGGTTTACACTGAGTTTGGGGAAGAGAAGGACAAGAATGTTATATATCCATGATCAAAATTATAGGAAAAAGTTAAGTGGAATTGTTATTAAAATTAATGTTCTTCTCTCAAAATTCTGAGGCTGCCATCAATAACTCAGCAAGCTTGCAACACACCAGCTAGCCCACAGTATGCCCAATAAGTCATACTACACTCAACAAACCCATAGTTTACCCAGTAAACCTATACTACACTCAGCAAGCCTGTGTCATATACCCACTAAGTCCACAGTTCACCCAGCTAGCAGGCACCACACTCAGCAAGCTCAAAACACACCTAGTAGGTCTCTACTATATCCAACTAGCCTGCATTGTATACCCACCAAGGCCATAACACACCCAGCAAGCCTGCAGTACACCCAGCAAGCCTATGCTAAACCCAGCTAACCTGTAGTACACCAGCAAGCCTGGTAACCTCAGCTAACCTATATCACAATCAAGAAGGTTCATATTATATCCAGCCAGGGTCTAAGGCTGATACATCCAGGCTGGATGACACTGAGCCACTATCTTACCTCCTAAGCTTTGGTCTTCTCACTGGTGAAATACATATAATGTAATCTATACCTCACAGGGTTCCTGAGAGGATTAGATGGAACATATGTAAAACAACTTCACAGTGCCTGGACATTGGAGGGGTTAAAAAAATGGTAGTTGTAGATATTACCATCACCATTATCATCATTCCAGTGATGGTAATCACTATCATTGTAATAATTTTTGCTGTTGCTGTCACTGAAGAATTATTATTGTCCATTATACTTAAAGATCTCAATTTTGACTCAAAGAGTTCAATTCCAAAGATTTCCCTGCCACTGAGATTGGACAATCCCAGGACATCTGGATGTCCTGCATTATGTCTAACTTAAATTCTTTCTATCTACAGTATAAGCCCATGGCTTTTCTAGCTCAGATTTCACTGGCAGTAGAAAAAAGCTGTTCACACTGATCTATAAACAATGTCTTCAATTAACATAACGCCTTAGTTCAAACCCAGGTCCACAGCAGACTGTAAAACCACCCCCTCAGCTATTGATCTCCAAGGATGGGCACAGCAGAATTTTCCCAAAGGTTAAACCCAAGTCATTAGGAGGAAAACCAGTGCAAAATTTGCCTATGTTCACAGCAAATTTGTCATTAATTTTCATGCTAAAAAACAACAAAGTTTTCTTCCTCCATATCAGTTTGTGGACTGAATGTTTCTGTCTCCCCAAAACTCATATGTTAAAATCTTAATCCCCAGTGTGAATGGGATTAGTGCCCTTATGAGAGAGACCCAGAGAGCTCGTTCACCCTCCGGCTGCCATGTGAGGATGCAATGAGAAGTCAGCAGTCTGTAACTGGTAGAGGACCCTCCCCAGAGCCCCAGCATGCTGGCCCCTGATCTTGGACTTCCTGCCCTCATAACTGTGAGATACATTTCTGTTATTTACAAGCCACCTAGTCCATGTTGCTTTGTTATAGCAACCAAACTGACTGAGGCAAGGCCCTTTCTTGGCTACTACTCTTCCCCCTGCCATAGGCACACAGGGAAGTCTCCAAGAAGCCAGCAGCCAGGGCAGAGGAGAAGCAGGAAGCATGTTGGCTAATGCCACAAAGCAAGCAGAAGAACAGTTGTTCAGTCAGTTGCCTCTCGAGGTCAGCCAGGATCTAGAGAAACTCACAGGCAGAGAAAGGTGCTGGCAGTTTGGCAGCATACCCCAGACAGGCATGGGAATTAGCTTCACTTTTAGGAATGTCAACGGGCATCTGGAATGCCTGCTTCTATCAGTCCTCAGTAACATCCATTCAGGGGTAAACTGGGTGCTAGGTATTCCTCACACTCACTCATTCAACAAATGCTCACTATGTCCCACTGTGTGCCAAGCACTTGGGGCGCACCGCTACACAAAAGAGATCAAATGTCTACTTTTGGAGCACATGCTTTAATAGAGGAAGACAAGCAAACGGGCAGAGTCAAGAAACAAACAACAGGCATTATGAGTACTGTACAATACACATGGCAAGTGCGGTGGAAAGGAAAAGAGAGCCAAGGAGGTGAAGGTGAGGAGGGTGGGCTGTATCAACCATGGGAATGCCAGGGTCGTCTCGGCAGATAAGGAGCAGGTGAACCCAGACTTGAAGGAGAAGGGGGGAGCCAGGCATATATGCAAAGAACTGTGTCCAGGGAGAGGGAATGGCCAGTGCCGAGATGGGGCAGGCCTGTCCCTGAGAGGAGGAGGAGGCTGGTGTGGCTGAGTAAGAGGAGAGTGACCAGAGTTGAGCTCAGAGAGGCAACAGTGGTTGGATCCTGCAGAGTCTTCCAGGCCATTCGCAGACTCTGGTCTTTGAGTGAGACGGAGAGTCACTGGTGAGTTCTGAGCAGGGGGGTGCTGAAGGGTCATTCTGGTGACTGTGTTGAGAATAAACTCTACTGTGACCAGAGTGACAAAAAGAGGCAGTGAAAAGGCAGCTGTGATAATCCAGTGGGAGACAAGGGGGGAGCAGTGGAGGTGGGTCATCTACTCTGGAACATTCTGGAAGGGAGCCAACAGGCTTTGCTGATGAACTGAATGTGGTGTAAGAGGAAGAGGATAATTAATAAAGACCACTAGATCTCAGCCCAGAGCAAGTGTAAAAAAAGTTGTTGCCTTCACCTGAGAATGGAATGAATGCAAGCAGAGGGCTCTTGGTGAGAGCGTGGGCATCTCTTTGGGGTGCCCACGTGAGGAAGGTGAGTAGGCTGCTGGATACACAAGACTGAAGTCCAGGACAGTGGTTAGAACGTGAACTTGGGAGTCACCTTTTATCAAGGGTAGATGAAGTCATAAGACAAAGAGCCTATAGAGGAGCTGATGAGCTATGGGTGTTCTCAGGTGAGCAGAAGGATGGGCCAGGTAAAAAACTGCCCTCAGCATCAGGTCACGGGCATCAGTTCCACCTTTGCCAGCACCTACTGCCACTTCTCTGAGGTAGTTCCTTTCTACTCTGAAAACCCAGAGGCAGATTAGGGATTCGTGGTTTTTTGTGACTCTGTGAACTGACTCCAGGAATCAAGAATGCTGAGCATTGTGATAGATCAAGACCATTGTACATTAGGGCCAAGGACTGGTGCCAGGTAACTTGGAGTGAAAGAAGATCCAGGACAAAGGGCCCAGCAGAGGCAGGGATGGGGTCCCGGGAGTGGGGGTCGGTGTGGGGGACGGTTGGCTCTCATTTGCTTTTCAGCCCCTGCAGTCCAACTCCCGTGGCCACCGCTCACTCACTGCAACTGCTCTCATCAAAATCATCAGTGACTGATTCTCAGCCACCTGGTCCCTGGAACCAGAAATCTGGGAACATCCTTGAACCTTTCCTCTCCCGTATCCCCTTATTTCTTATCCCTTTGTCCCTCATTTCCTGTCACCAACCCCCTACTTCTGATTCTTCCTTGAATCTATTCTCCTCATCATCCCCATATGCTCACATAACGTCAGACCCTCAGCATACTTTTGTTTTGTTCTGTTTGGGGAGGGAGAGGGTCTGGATTCTTTTAACAGTTACCTAACACCATTTCTGTGCCTCTCGCCCTACTCCCTCCTCCATCCATCCTCCATGATGCAGTGGTCAGAGGTTTAGAAATAAGATCCATAAAGAGCCTATGACAGTGCCTGGCATTGGGGCAGAGGCAACTAGATAAATGATGGCTGCTCATGTAATCATCCTCTTCTTAGAAATATATGTTATTGCCTACTTCTAAACTTGTCCACATAGACACTGCTACATATTAACAGAAATGCTTTCCTTAAAAATAACTGAAGACGATTAGCTAGAGGGCTCATAATAGGAATCTTAAGCAATCATTTAAATTAATTCCTGAGAAGTCTATGCAGAACCCTTCAAGCTGAGCCCTTTCTGGCAGAAACTCACCAGTTCCCATAAGCACATGCAAATCAGCACACTGAGTTTCCCATATTTCACTGCCAGATTTTTTTTTTTTTTTTTACTTTCTAGAAGAACAAACCACAGCTCTGTTATCACAGCATCACTCTCCACTGGCAGGCAGGGAGCCTGAGCAGCTTTGCATTCCCACCCCCATGCTGCCCCATGCTGCACAGCGCCAGGTAAATAGCAGATAGCCAAACCATGTGTCAATGAATGCTTTGTTCTAAAAGTTTAAATCTCAAAAACTTGCTGCATCCATATTGAAAGTATTCTCTGAAGAAATTTGCCAAGGACAATTTTTGGCCAAAAAAAAAAAAAATCCTTTTAAATTGTTGAAAGATGTCTAGAAATGGATAAACTGTTATCCTTTAAAGTATGTTAGTAGAATAAAACAACTGAACTTCTTCAGGAAAGAAAGAAACACAGAGAAGCCCATTCTCCTACCTTCTTAAAGTCATTTATGTTGATTTTTCTGTCAGGGCCCTTGCTGAAGTCAAGAAACCGTTTTCTGAATGTTGGGTCCTGCTGCTGTATGCAGTTTTTGAGGTTTTCAATAACTTCTTCTTTGGTCATGCTCTTGATCAGAGTGGTTTTATCTTCGGTGGGCTTGGTTCTAAAATCACAAGCAGGCATTCAGACCCTGTGTCAACTGATGCACACAGAGTGCTCTGTAGACCTCATCATTTTCTCTTAAATCCCTGACAATACAGAGGTTTACCGTCCCATTTCACAAATGAGGAAACGGCTGCTCAGAAAGGTTCTTTGACTCAGAGACTTCTTACACTCCCCCGACTGGTAGGTCCCAGGGCCAGAACTGGAGGTCTGAGGCATGGCGTCCAGGTGAAAGCCTGTATAGGTTGGCAAGCCAGGGTGGGAAGCTTGCAGGGAGAGAATACGATTGCTTTTGTGCTAAGACTTTCGACTGTACTTTGAGCTGGCTGAAGGTGGTGTGTGAGGGGGCACACATGGTGGAAAAGGGAAATTTTTGTTTTTGTGAAGTAGAAAAATTTAAAGTCAGATCCCATTAGAAAGCTTTAAATGAAAGAAATAGGCCATTTGGTGCTAACTAGATCAAGGCAGTCAGCAAACATCCACGGAAATGAAGTACACAGTTAATCCAAACTAATTTATGAAATCAACTTGACTTATAGAGTTTAAGTTGTATGTGCTATGCTGTAGTGTGAGTGTGAATGTGTGGGTGGTGAGAGTGTGGGTGTTTAGAGAGTCATTATTCCTCAGCTCTCTAGAAGGCTCTTGGGCCTCAGTTTTTGGGAGAAAAGGCAGTCACTGGCTAGTCATGGGGAATGGCCTTCTATTCTTTCCTGTTGCTTCTCTCGACTGTCAAGAGCTCTCCAGGAAAGCCCATGTTTTATGAAATACTTAATTGCCATTGCTTCTTTCACCAGTTTTAAGAAGCAGACATCTCTTATCACAGAATATTTAACCTTTCTCTTAAAATACCATCTTTCTGCCCATTTATAAAGCAGCTACTACTGAAAAGCCCAGATATTCAAATTTCATTAGCATATCATTAAAATATTCCCATTGCTCTTTACTTAAGAACTTTTTAAAAGGGCTATGATGAAGTGAAGTCTGCTGAATAGTTCTACATTTTCCCTTTCCTTATGGATTTATTATAAGCTATGAATGAGCAAGTTAAAATAATATCTTTTCATTAGGCTAAATCTATATTTTTAAAATGAAGAAGAGCTAGAATATTCATCAGTCTAATTTTTTATAGATTTACTAAGTATGTTTTATTGTTATAATTCAATTTGGAAATCATTTTAATAATTCTATCATTCATATCAGAAGATGTTAACTGGTTTAATGGGTGTGTGTTGTAATAAATATTAAATGGTGGTAAGGAATCTAAATGTCTGGAAAAGAATAAATGTGAATGCAGGTGTGTAATAGTCAAGTTGCAGACAGTGTTCCTGGGAGTCCAGAATCCTGGATTCTTGACTGGGGCCAGTCACCATGTTTAAGAGGTAAGTCCCCAAACCTCTCAGACATCAGTGCTTTCATTTCTAAAATTAAGAGGTGGTTCAATAATTCCTAAGATTTTTCCTTGCTCTAAAAGTCCCTGATTAATCAGGGAATACTAAGCAGTGTATTCATAGTGTGCCATCTTTCTTACTTATGTAATAAAATATTAAAATGCTCATTTAGTCAACAAATATTTACTAAATACCTATTCCATGAAAGACACTGTGGTTTTAATATGTGCATTCATTTTGTTTTATTTTACCTCTCAGAAAGATCTGGCTGCTGCTGTTCCTCTTTTTGAAAACCTTCATCGAACAGCTGATTCTTTGGAACAAGAATTGGAGAGACAGTGGGCGGGCCATTAACTCCTACGCAAGCCAAAAGTTTCTTATAAAGGATTCTTCCTGAAGCAATGTCCTGAAACTTACTGCAGAGTCTGAATTTTAAAAATAATTAGAACACACTTATTAGAATGACTAAAATAGAAAAGATTGACCCTACCCCCAAGTGTTGGTGAAAATGGGAGTAGACAAAACTGTCATCTATGGTTGGAGGAATGAAAAATGGTACAACCACTTTGGAAGACAGTTTGACAACTGAATTATAGTTGCCAGAGGAACCAGCCATTCTACTCCTAGGCATTTGCCCAAGAGAAATAAAAATGTATGTCTATACAAAGAGTTGTGCAATGTACACATCTTTATTTGTAATAGCCAAGAACTGGAAACAAACCATATGTCTATCATCAGATGAATGTATACACAAACTATGGCAAAGCCATGTAATGGAATACTCAGCAACAAAAAGAAATGAACTGTTGACATATATAACAGTATGAATGACTCAAAATCATCATGCTCAGTGAATAAAGCCAGACAAAAAAAAGAGGATAGCTTGTGTGCTTTCATTTATATAAAGTCGTAGAAAATGCAAAGTAATCTAGAGTGAAAGGGAGTAGGCTAGTGGTTGTGTGAGGGTGGGAGGAGGGAGCAACGAGTTGCAAAAGGGCACATGGAAGATTTGGGGGGTGATGAAAATATTTGCTATCTTGTTATGATTTTACAGATGTAGACACACATAAACATCATAAAATTGCATCATTTAAATTTGTACAACTTATTGTATATAAAGCATACCACAATAAAGATAAAATAAGTGTAAAAAAAGAGAAATATTTTAAAATTAGAAATGTTGGTGTGTGACTGGAGAACTAGATGACTGAAGGCAGGGTTCATGAAATGTGGTCTTCCAGGGCATCAGTGAGACACAAGCTATCTTCATAGTAACACTAAGTCATTGGCCAGACTTGGTGACTCAGCCTATAATCCCAGCACTTTGGGAGGCTGAGGCAAGTGGATTGCCTGAGCCTGCGGGTTCGAGACCAGCCCAGGCAGCTTGGCGAGACCCCCGTCTCTACAATAAATAAAAAAATTAGCCAGGCGTGATAGCATGAGCCTGTAGTTCTGGCTACTTGAAAGGCTGAGGCGGAAGGATCGCCGGAGCCCAGCAGGCCGATGCTGGGGTGGCCGTGAATGTGCCACTGCACCCTAGCCTGGGTGACAGAGTGAGATTCTCCAACTCAAAGAAACAAAAACAAACAAAAAACTCTAAGGCATGATTTGCCTTTTTCCCTCTGATGTTTGCACGCATAATATTGCATGGTGAAGTTTGTCAGAGGCAACATGTTTGGGATCATGTCCGTGCTCTGAGTGCTAACATATTCTTGTGTCGTCTGTGTTTTCTGTCATTTCTAAGGTTGTGGCTTTAGGTCTAAGTGAGGAACTAGGAATAGATTTTCAGAGATAAACACGATCTCTTCACAGCATTTCTACTGGGCTCTTTGCTAGTGACCTTCAGTTCCACCTGCTGTAACTTCTGTAACCACATTATCATCCAACAAACCATTATTTTGAATCCCAAAGTTTTCCCTGAGCTTACAGGGAAGCACAACACGCAAGTACACTTGTTTTCTGTATTAACACTTTCAAAATGTCTTGGATTTAATTTCTAATACTGTAAATCACTATAGACTCCATAAGATAAAAACTCTTTGAGATCTTGGATAATTTTTGAGAACTGCTGACCTGGCGTACACTCCTTACCCCTACTATATTTTGGTTTCCTTATCTAGTAAATGCAAATACCTTCCTCAGAGGACTGCTGCACAAATTAAGTGAGAGAATCCATGTTAAGCTCTTGGCATCGGGGCTGACATGCTCCAGGGATGTGTGCTCTATGAATTATAGCTATAATAACGGTGTCATTATGATGTTATGCATATACCTGGGGGGTCAGAGCCCTGTCACAGGGAGTAGGTGGTCTAAAAGTTCAGCGGCAAGAGACAGCCCAGTGTTTTCAAGAAATCAAAAGCAGTTTAAGCCTAGCTGGAGCTGAGATCAGCAGCAGGAGCAGCAAACATTGACCGAAAAGTTACTATATGCTTGGCCCTGAGGTAGAGGCTTTCTGCAAATTATCTCATTTGATCCTTACCACAACTTTAGGAAGGAACATTTGGATGCAGAAGCAAACGTAGAGGCTCAGAGAGGAGTTAGGTCACTTGCCCAGGTGCACAGTAAACTCAGGGCTGAGCCTAGAGCTAAACTCAGGCAATCTGGCTGCAGAGCCCAAGCTCACCAAGAGGTGAGAGGGTTATGGGGTGCCCAGGAAATCAGGATGGCTTAAGAGTATCTGGACAGTTTGTTTTCTAATGGCAATAGGTTAGCAAAGTGTTGTGAGTTAACATGATCAGATTTGCGGTTTAGATGGATAAAATGTGGCTACATGATGGGGAATGGATTGGGGAATCTTCCATGTCAAATATCCAATCACCTACATGATCAACTCATTAGATTTCATTAATTCATTCACTCACTCAATAGTATGTCCTAGGCACTGTTTCACACTTAGGTATCGGGGCTTCAGAGGTAAAAGAGACAAACAAAGCCCCTGCCCTTGACAACCTTGGTAAGTGGCACAGATGATAAATACAAACAGATAAATGATCAGAACAATGAGAAAATGCGGCTGGGTGGAAGGCAAAAGACTAACTGTTGGGGTCCGGGTGGGAAGGGGAAAAGAGTGACTCTAGGCGGCAACATGCCATCAATCTCCTCTCCAAGTTAATACATCCAGGACGGAACTTCTGATTTTCACTCCTGAAACTGTTTCTCCTAGCCTCCCTTCCTCAAATGACAACCCTGACTGACTACCTCCTTGCTCAAGCCAGGAACTTAGACTCGTCCTCTCAGTTCCTTTTCCCCTCATCCCAACCCACGGCACTGGCAAGTCCCACCAGTTGTACTCCAAGACATATCCTGAACCTCCAAGTGAGGTTTTGGTATCTGACCCCCAGGTGAGACCATGGAAAGTGACAGAGACAAGGGAGAGAGGTCTGCTGTTACCCCACACTGACTTCCAGAGAGGTAGTGCCAGTCATGCTCCCACCAGCCCACTGGAGAGTGACCATTCTCTACTTCCTGCCCACAGTGAGTGCTATTTGTGAAATGTATGTTGCCAATTTGCATTGCTTTTTACTTTGAGGGACATCTGATGTGTTTCACATACTTGTTTCCACTAACCTACATTTTAACCGAGCGATAGCAAGTCCCATGCTCAAAGCCCTTGGCAGATGGAGACCTCTCACTAGGATTAATCCTGTTGTTTGCATGATATCCAGTCTTATGATGACCTCCTTATGATGAGTGATGCCACTTTCAATGTATGGTGGCAAGGAAAGGCTTCTTTTACAAATTAATTAAAAACATTTAAAAGGGGAAATTAAAAAAATAGAAAAAGGGAAGTCGATATAAAGAAAGTAAAGATGAACAAAGGTAGAACATAATTGCCTGGAGTTTGGGCAGAATCTTCCAGTTTAAGGATAAGGGAAAAAGATCCCAAGAAGTTCCCTTCTCTTTCCCATCGGAAGTTGTTCCAACCTTGAGCAGCGTCCTAAACTCCCTATTCCACTCCAAGTTCCCCTCAGCTGATCCCTGGCCGCTCCCTGCACTCACAAAGCAGAGGTTGGGCGGCCTGGCCTTGCTCACAGCCCCCTCCTGCCACGCTCATCTCCTTTCTCCTCTGTCAGATCCAGGCTTCAGTCCCTGCATTTCCATGAACTTCCTGCCACACCTGACACATCTGTGGAACACCCGGACCCTTTCTTCGGCATGCAGCCTCCACACTCCTCTAAAGCACCCATTGGTCTGTCCCATCCCTTCCAGCAACACCGGGCCCTGCTCTCACCTGCCCTCCACAGAGACAGCAGCCACATCGGTTTGAGTCCTTCCCCACTTGCCTTCTTGGTGATGTCTGACCTCGCTGGATGCCTTCTACTGCTGGAGACATTCTCCTCCATTAGCCTCCAGCAGAGCCAATTTTGGTTCTCATCTCCCTTACCATTACTTACTTCTCAGCCTCTTTGCTGGCTGGACAAGCTAGATCACTATGGAGCAGGCGGTGTTCTGCCCTCAGATGAGAAGGAATCCCCCCCAGACAATGATTGTTGAACAAATGAATGAAATGTCTGGAAGACTCCAGAATCTTGATCTGCAGCCCAGTCTCCTCTCTGAGCTCCACTTACCTGCTGGGAGTGTACCTGGGGTGCTTTGACCCTGCCTGGTTCACTTCTTCTGTACTTCCTAACTCGAGAACAACCCTGCCTCTCCACTGATGGCCCACACAGCCCCTGGGGCTCAAACGCAACTCCTTTCCCTCCTCTCCTGCCACCCTCCACATCCAGAGTCATGAGGTTTGTTATCCGACTTCCCAAGGCTGTCACAAAGCAGCTGCCCCCTGCAGGGCCACTCGCTGCCTCCCTTCGAGCACCATTCACTTAACTCTCTCCTGGTCACGGTTCATTCTCCACACAGGAGCCAAAGTGATCTCTACAAGGAGTAGGTCCGAACTTGTCACCCGCCCCACCTAAAGTCACCTCAGGGGATCTGGTTCCCCTCAGCTGTGCATCTTAACTATGGCTGCACATCAGAGCTGGGCGGGGACTTCAACATAACAGTGCTGGCCCACCCTGGGGACAGGGCATGGGCACTGGGATTTCTAAATCACTCCAAGTGATCCTGACATGCTGGTAGAGAACCAGTGCCCTGCTGAGTGAATCCCAAGGCCACAGTATGGTGCACACAGTAAACCCTGCCGGGTTCTGACTGTCCCTCTGGTGTCACGCCCCTCCTGTTCTTCCCCTGCAAAACTCCCTACTCCAGTCATCCCACATGACTTGCCAGTCCCTGAACATGCCATGTTCCCCCAGCCCTCTGGGTTTTCCCCCCGGCATCCCATGTCCTGAAACATCCTTTCTTTCCTTCTCCAGACTCAAACATCAGTCCTCTGTAGTTTTCCTGCATTCCCTGCTACCTGGCTATCCCATTGTAAGCAAGTGTTCTTCCTCCATGTTCTAGAAGCACTAAGCATTGATCTGCTGTCACACTCATACGCCATACTGGGTTTGTCTTTCTCCCACACTAGACCTCCCCATAAATACAGGGATTTGAGTAAAACCATGACCTAGGCCTGTATGCAGTAGGCAACCCCTAATGCTCACTGAGTGAACGCCTAAGTGAAGGAATAAGTGAATTGCCTAGTTAGTCCCAGGTCCCTCCTTCCTCATGACCACACACAACAATGGCCAAGAGTAGTTGACACCCCACAGATAGTGACATGCAGTGTGGCCTCAGCACAGTTCCTGCCATCTCTCACCTGAACTCTCTCCAGAACCCTGTCTCTTGACCTGCAGAGAAGCAATCTCACCTATTTCTCCCCATGCCAACGCTTGTTTCACCTGCTAGCAAATTCTTTTTTCTGAAAACACTCAGTAGGAATTGGATAAAATGCAAATTTTCAAACCAGGCACTCCAAGCCCCCTCAATCTCTAAAGCCTTTGCTTCACTCTTACGCTTCTTAAAATCCTTCTCTTCCTATAAGAACCAGTCATTAAAAATGGGCTAGGAACATGAGTGTTCACAGAAAGGAGACTTGGATAGTCAATAACTACCAGTATATCAGCTTGTGTTTTATATCACTTTAAATTAATGCATGTAAATGAAATCAACACGTAAGATTTTTCACATTTCAATCAGAAGAACTGGAAGACAACTAGAATAACCTTCTTCTCTATGATTCCATTTGATGCCTCCCAAACTAATTGTCCAATTTGCTGCCCTTACTTTGGGAAACACTGGACCAGACGGTCTCTAAGACTGTCCAAGTTTTAGTTCTGCAAAAGTAGTTCTGAGTGGACAGCAGGACACATGAATGGGGACAAGGGAGACACTGGTCTCTGCAGACCGGCAGGGTTTCCAGTGGTCAGTTCTCAATGTCATCTGCAGAGAGGGAAGCCACCAGACTCTATGTCCCAGGGAAGATATGTGGAAGGAGGGACGATGAGAGGCCTGACATAGACTTTTGTCTTCTCTCTAATCGTATTCCTATTCAGCCATCTAACATCTGTCCCCTTCCAGCTTGGGTTCATCTACCACAGATGAAGCTGTAAACTAAGGTGATATGATTCAGGTTACTGTTGATGAGATGACCAACATAGCCAAACACCCGAGGAGTTCAAACAGCCTAGTGATTAAGAGCATAGGTTTCCTCCATCCAAACCTACTGCAGCTCATGCATGTGTAGGAAAGGTGAGCCTTTAGCATGAGTCAGCTGTGGTCCAACTGTCAAACTTCTTGGCCCAGAAATGAACTGTCTAGCACTTTGCTCTGTCCTAACCATGACTGGTCTGCCCCTATATTATAGATTATGCATAATCAATAATCATTGATTGTACATAATTAAATTGTTAAATTACCAATATTTTATGGTTTATAATCATATGAAACTCTTGATAACAATGTTCTCACCATCAGAACTCAACATATTTAACTGTAGTGACTAAAACAAAAGAGATATGTAGATTCAACAAGAGTTGAGATGAATCTTTGCATCTTGAACAATACTTACAAGATATTACTAAAAACTAAAGGAAGATATTTGCTTGCAATAATAATAATAATAATAAATGAGCACAGAAATCGTAGAGACCCAGGAAGGAACCCAGTCTTCATGACTCACCAGCTGTGTGACTTGGAGTAAGCCTTCTTTAGGCCTCAGTTTCTTTACCATAGAAAGGAATACTACTAGCTACCTTGCATGGCTGTGGTAAGGACTATACCATATATGTCACATTCATAGCCAATGTCACATTCATAGCCAATGTCCCATGCTTAGTAAGGGTTTAGTAAATAGCAGCTGTTACCAATGTTACTTAATAATATTGCAAAAATACATAGAAAAGACTTAGAATTATGAAATAGACTTGATGAAAAACATGACAAGAACTAGTTTTGTTACCCAAAACTTACTTTATTAAATGTTCATTCGTTAAACATGGGCAGAAGGTCTGCATAATTTTCTTGAAGTTATTTCGGCTGATGAGCCCTGTGTCTCCAAGGTCATATGACTGTAGTGTATTAAAAAAAGCTTGTTGGTTCCTAGTAATTGCGTCATGAACAATTCCTTCCACCTAACATAAAAAACAAACATATTTACTAAGCTGTACGTTTGTAACCTGGTGTGATCACACCCTCAGACCATATAGGAGGGCATCACAAAGAAAAGGCAAATGTCACTTACTGAATCCCAGGCCAGGAACAGAGGTGTCTTAGTGCCTGTACAGAGAGCTGTTTTTCTCATCTAATTGGGAAAGAGAAAGTATATCAATAAAAATCATTTCTGAAAGGCAACAGGAGCTTTGGAGGCAGTAGACCTGATCTTGAACTCTAGCTCTTCTCTGGTTCACCAATAGCTTTGAGACCTGGAACAATACATCTGAAAGCAGAGATGATAACATTTCACTTGCACTTATTTTTTAAAAGTACAATAAACATGAAAAAACCCATTACCTAGAAATTAAATAAATTGCAATTAAATTAAAAGGTGGCATTTTTGCCTATCATAATATCAGAAGAGCAAAAATGAAAGAGTAAGCAAACTGTTCACAACGGTGGCGGTTGCAGAAATGGTAGGACAATAACTTGATCTAGCTTTCTGGAAGGTATTTTGTCTCATAATACATTTGGGTAATATGAGACGATTTGATAATTTACAGACTCTACAGTGACAATGACTGCCTCTGGGGAGTTGAATGAGTCACTAGGGAGCAGGCATAGAAGGAAAACTTATTTTCATTCATTCCCTTTTGCATCATTTTCAGCTTGTGCTTTATACAAATATTCCTCTTTCAAAATAAGAAAATATTAATAGAATAAAACATATGTTCTTTGACCTAATAATTCCATTTCTAGAAATTTATACTAAATAAATAACCATAGAGTAATGCAAAAAAAGCAGGTACCAAGATGTTCATTATAGCAAAATTTTAAAAACAACGAAAAAATGAGCATCCAAATGATGACAACTGAGAATAGTTACTTGGTATTTTTTGAAATTATAACACAACTTTTATTGACATTAAGTGTTATAGTATATTAATATATGACAACATAGACTAAAAAGTCATTAATTAATTATACAGCCCTTGCTTTAAATAAAATGGATACAATATACAAAAGTATGTATCCAAACTCAGCAAATTGTATCCATTACATATATTCAGTTTTTGAATATAAATTATATTTTAATAAAACTATTTTTCATTTACAGTAAAGTGTGTGTGTTATGTACATTGATTTGAAAGGATATACAAAAAAGTATAGCAGCAAGTAACAATTCTTTGGCATTAATAGCGATCTTTATTTTCTTCTATGGACATTTTTGTTTTCTAGTTTTTCCAATTCATTCATTCATGATAATTCATTCATTCAACAAATCGTTGTGTGAGTGTGCCTGGCACTGGCTATTCCTTATGGCATGGAGAGGGCAGTGATTATAGAAAGGCCTCTGCTTTCACGGAGACAGGACTTTCTCATACTACAGTTGTGGCTCCGTGGCTTTGGCAGGTGTTGGGGCTCTAGTGAGGTCAGTAACTGGAAGACAGGCCTTCCCCAGAGACATCTGGGAGGGTCCCTGCACAGGAACTGGCTGCACTGAGCACTGGAAATGGTGCAGTAGGTCAAGAGGCGCGGGAAGGAATCCCAGCAGCCGATGTGGCACACATACTCCTCTTTCATATTCTTCAGACCTCCTCACTGCCTACTCTGTGTGGGAGGCCTGAAGAACTGGAAGAGGAGACCTTTCTAAAAGTCACTGGAGGGATTTAAGCATGAAGGCAGACATGATCTGATTTACAGTAAGCAAAGATCATGCCACTTGCCATGTGGAGAGCAGATTGCTTATGTGTCCATATATACTGGGGTGTCAAAAAATGTATGCACATTTTAAGAGCTGTTATTTATGTATTACTTTTAGTGTGTTGTAATCTGAAGTGTCTGGACGCCAATGGTAACCACTTTGAGCAACTCTTGTAATTGCAGAAGTGTGACTTGTATTCATCTTTTGTTATCAGTATATATTGAGTATTACAATTTTAATACAGTTTTTTTTTCCTTTCTAAAAGTATGTGTACATTTTGGCACTCTTTCTCTACACATATTTAGGATTTTGAACACTTTATGTGCATTCTCCTGTTAAATTTCCATAACAACCCTACAAGGTGGTACCATGATTAACCTTGTTTTACAGATGAAGAAATGAATCTTAGCAAGGTAAATTGTTTGCCCCAGACCACAGCCAGTAAGAGGTGGAGGCAGGAAGTTGAATGTAGGTGCAGAAGCTCCTACATTGACTGGCTGCCTCTAAGCCCTATTGATTGGACTTGGACTTACTCTGAAGCATCAGGAGTAAACAGAGTCAAGATATGTGTCCAGGCTTCCATATGTCATATACACTGCCTGTGTGCATGGGTTCACATACCCATCCACTTATGTGGGACAGGTATGTGGCACAACCAACATTTATTTGTCAGTCTATTTCCATCCATTTTCTAGCAAAAGAGATCACAAGACCTTTTATAAGAGAGGGGATCCTCCTCCAAAAATAAAATTTATTAAAAATTGTGTATTTATTCTTACACATTTAAACTTCAGTCACCTTCAAAGTACTCTCTGTTTGATGCAATACACCTGTTGAGACGCTTTTTCCATTGCTCAAAACCAGTTTTTAAACTCATCAATTTTGATGCCTTTTAGTGCTTCTACCTGTTTTTGTTTTACCTCTTTCACATTGGCAAAAACGTGTCTCTTTGAAGACTTTTTTTCATGGAAGTGGGGGAGTCCCTTGGGGTGAGATAAGGTGAATAGGGAGGATGAAGCATGAAGGTCATGCATTTTTTGTCAAAAACTGCTGAACACTCAGCATGATGTGGGCAGGTGTACTCATAAATCACCCACTGTGACGTGGCAAATGCGTTTAAATAATCTCCAAAAGAAAAACAAATTCACTGAAGTTGAATGCAGCCTCTCATAATGCTAGCTGGTACACTGATGCAGATGGGTTCCTAGAACACTCACCTAGTGGCAGAAACCTGTACTGCAAAGGGCATGCCCTTCAAAAGATAATTCCAGGTGTTTTGGGGTCCCCCATATATGTAAAAGGAATTGTTTATATGCTCAGAACCACAAATATACCCATAACTTTGGCCCAGTATTTCTACCTCTAAGAATCTATTCCAAGGAAATATTCAGATATGAATGAAGATATTTGCACAAAGGTGTCCAGCATAATGAAAGTAAATAGACAGCATAAATGCTCCAATGACAAGTGTATGCACAGAACACTCTTAGACACCATTGAAAATCATGTTTATGATGAGCCTTTAATGATATGGGGATGAGGGAGAAATGCTCATCATATGATATGAAATTGAAAAAATAGGATAAAAAAATTATACAAATAAGAGTTCAACCAATGAGTTCCAAAAATATATGTGCACAACCATACACAAAAAGTAGAAGAAAATTTGTCAAAATTTTAACTTTGGGTATCTCTGGGTGTTAGGATTTAGCATTTTTATCATTGTCTTTACCTGTGTAGTTTTGGATATTTTCTAAATAGTCTACAATGAATGTCTATTATATGCATGATCACAAAATATTTGAATAAATTACTTCCAAAATATTGGGAGAAAATTTCTAAACATACCAAGAAAAGGTAACTTAAATATGACACTTTCACTCCAATAAATTTTCCCACTTTAAACCAAGAAGTACACCCCAAACTTTCCACAAGACCATGATGCAAAATGACATCAAACGGAAAGAGTCTTTGATGACGAATTGCATTTTGCACAGAAGTCATCAAAATAGAGTGCACCACCTACAAAAAAAAAAAAAAAAAAAAAGCTCTGGACCAGACAGCTTTACAGTGGAATTCTACAAAACATAAAAGGAGGAGCTGATACCAATCCCATTGGAAGCATTCCAGGCAATTGAGAAAGATGGAACTCTCTCCAAATCATTTTATAAAGTTAACATCGCACTGATACCCAAACTGGGTAAAGATCCGACAAAGAAAGAGAACTACAGAGTGCCTTGCTAAGCTATGGTGTGGCCATATGCTCTTTGAGCCATGGCCAGACCATGTTTTCTTAAGCTTTGTCCTCCTCCCTTACCTTGGGGAGGTGAATCACCTCTTTTTCTCTCTAATTTACTTTCTAAATAAACTACGTATATAAAAAAAATCATCCACCATGACCAAGTAGACTTTATCCCGGGATATAGGGCTAATTCAACATCTGAAAGACCATAAATGTAATTAAATACATCAATAAATGTAAAAACAAGAACCATATGATTATATCATTAGCTGCAGAAAAAGCTTTCAATAAAATCCAGCGTCGCTTCTTGATAAAAACCCTTGAACTAGGCACAGAGGGAACATACCTCAAAATAGTAAGAGCCATCTATGATAAACCTACAGCCAACGTATTACTAAATGGACAGAAACTGGAAGCATTTCCCCTGAAAACTGGAACAAGATGAGGTTGCCCATTCTCACCCCTCCTGTTCAACATAGTGTTGGAAGTCCTGGCCAGAGCAATCAGACAAGAGAAGAAAATCAGGGATATTCAAATAGGAAAAGAGGAAGTTAAGTTATTCCCTTTTGCTGATGGTAAGATCCTATACCTTGGAAGTCCAAGAGAGTCTGTTCAGAAACCTCCTTGCAGTGATAAAGGACTTTGGCAAAGTCTCAGGGTTCAAAATAAACATGCAAAAGACAACAAACAGACAGAAAATCAAATAAAAAGCACATTCCCATTCACAATAGCCACACCAAAAAAATGAAATACTACGGCATATTCCTAACCAGAGAAGTGAAAGACCTTTACAATGAAAACTACAAAACACTGCTCAAAGGAATCAAAGAAGACACAAATAAGTGGAAAAATATTCCAAGCTTACGGACTGAAAGAATCAACATTGTTAAGGTGTTCAACCTACCAAGGCAATCTACAGATTAAATGCAATACCCATTCAATTACCAACATCATTCTTTTCAGATCTGGAAACGACAATACAGAAATTCATATGGAAATACAAAAGACCACAAATAGCCAAAACGATCCTTAGCAAAAGAAACAAAGCAGGAGGTATTATACTTCCAGACTTTAAGCTTTACTATAAGGCTACAATAATTAAAAGAATAGACATATAGACCAATGAAACAGGATAGCAATTCTGGAAGTAAAACCTCAATTTCTTAACCAACTCATCTTTGACAAAGCCTCCAGCAACAACCACTGGGGAGAGGAGAACCTATTCAGTCAGTGGTGCTGGGAAAAACTAGCTGACCACATGGAGAAGCTTGAAACAGGATCCCCACCTATTACCATACACAAAAATCAACTCTAAATGGATCAAGGACCTAAACATAAAACCTCAAACTACAAGAATCTTAGAAAATACAGAAGACAATCCTTACAGAAATCGGATAGGCAAGCAATTCCTGATCAAAACCGCAGATGCCCATGCCATAAGAGATAAGATAGACAAGTGGGACCTCATCAAACTGAAAAACTTCTACAAAGCAAAAGAAACCATCAAAAGCATGAGGAGACAGCCCACAGAATGGGAAAAAAAATATTTGCCAACTGTATATCTGACAAAGGCCTAACATCTGGGATCCACAAACAGTCTATTAAAAAGTGAGCAAAAGATATGAATAGATACTTCTCAAAAGAAGACACATGAGCAGGCTACAGATACATGAAAAAGTGCTCAGCCTACTAATCATCAAAGAAATTCAAATTAAAACCATACTGAGATACCACCTAACTCCAGTCAGAATGGCCATCATCAGTAACTCAAAAAACAACAAACGCTGGATAGGATGTGGGGAAACACTTCTACACTGTTGGTGGGAGTGTAAACTAATACAACCTCTGTGGAAAACAATGTGGCAATATCTAAAAGATCTAAATATGGTTCTTCCATATGACCCAGCAATCTCCCTTCTGGGCATATATCCAGAGGAACTCACATTGTTCTATAAAATAAGATACCTGCACATACAAGTTTATTGCAGCATTATTCACAATAGCTGAAACATAGAACCAATATTGCTGCCTATTGAAAGTGAACTGGATAGGCCGGGCTCGGTGGCTCAGCCTGTAATCCCACGCTTTGGGAGGCTGAGGTGGGTGGATTGCCGGAGCCCGCGGGTTCGAGACCCGTCTGGGCAACTCGGCGAGACCTCATCTCTACAATAAATAAAAAAATTAGCCGGGTGTGGTAGCGCACGCCTGTAGTTCCAGCTACTTGGAAGGCTGAGGTGGAAGGATTGCCGGAGCCCAGGAGGGCGAGGCTGCAGTGGCTAGGAGCAGCCACTGCACTCCAATCTTGGGCAACAGAGTGAGACTCCAACTCCAAACAAAACAAAACAAACAAACAAACAAACAAATAAAAAAAGAAAGTGAATTGGATTTAAAAAAAAGTGATACATATACATGATGAAATATTATGCAGCCATAAATAAGGACAAAATTATGGACCTTCACAGCAACTTGGATGGATTTAAGGTCTATAATACTCAGTGATCTATCACAGAAACAAAGAACTGAGTACCCCATGTTCTCACTCATAGGCAGACTCTGAACATTTGTCCTAATACTGTAAGAAAGGGATTGACAGTAGCGGGACACTGCCAGGGGAGGGAGGGGGGACACACAACATCAATAAGGGTACCTGATCCCAAACCAGGTGAAGTGAGACCAAAGGGAGGCCCAAACTTTACCTGTACAGTGACCACTTATCTACCAAATCTGAATTGTACCCCACATCTTTAAAATAAAAAGAAAAGAACGCAGCTGGCGTCAATTAAACGCCCTTTAAGCTGTACCCAAACACCCTATTCAACCCATTCAATAGAAACATCATCTAAATGCATCTCTTGATATTTTACTGGTTTGATCTTATAGGTAAGCCAACTTCATAAATCTAAAATTAAAAGCTAATTTTTACCTGCTAAAAGATGCCTTTTAAAAACATTTCAACAAGGGTCTGTAAAAGCCTATTATATGCAGTATCTGAAATTAATCTGATTTTTAAAAGTTCTTAACATTTTTTAGTGTTGATATTTATTGAGGTCATGGAAGCATTTCTAATATTAAAATTCTGTCATTTTTTTCAGTCAAGGGAAACAAATACTAAAGGTACGTGCTAGTCGCTAGAGAAAATATACAGTTATCTTTCAAAAAGGTGAATCAAAATAGGTACAAAACTCTAGAAATATGGATGAAAACTAGAGTAGTCACTCACAAGCACTCCATTTGAAGACAGGGCCACAAGAGGAGTGCTGACGTCATGTTGTGAGAAGCCACATCTTGCACATACAAGGGTTCTTATTCAGGGATAGGTTTTCAGAAATGTCAAATATCATAAGATTTAGAAAATAAAAGTTAAAATCCAGAAACTTTCAAACACTTAACTCATACTTAAAATGAGTGTTAATTCAAGTCAAGTCATTAATTTATTCAAACTATAATTCCCCTGCATCTCTTTTTTTACTAGGAATACTGAAGTTTCCTGCCATAAAGAGAAAACCAAACATGAAGTTGTTATAAAACCCACCTTAGGCTCCTCTTCAAGCAGATCAATAAACGTGCTGATGTTGACCATTCCAGTGTCCGCAGGGTCAAGTGTGTGCATTAGTTCTTTGAATTCTGAATCACTTAATTTTACAACCATGCAATTGAGGATATGTCGCAAGTCTTCCCCTGCTACCTGTCCATCAGGTTTCTGAGCGTGCGAGTGTATGTAAAAGAATTTTTAAAAAGAAAAAAAGGAAGGAAAAGCATTATTTATATTTAGCATCATTTAATAAAGAGTGAGCTTCGGTTAAATAGAATTATGATTTAAAGAGCAAATACCCCGATTGATAATCATGATACAATTCATGTGCCAAGAGCAGTTGGGGAGGTGGGAGATACTAGAACTTTCCAAGAGCAGTTCCTGCAATGTTCTCTATCAGGACATGGGTAAAAGATGGCCTGTGAGTGAGAAATGAGACCCATTTCTTAGGCACAAGCTGATTCCCTTCCCCAGGGTCCTGAATGGTCTACCCCACCTGAGTGCTGGGTGGTTCAGCCACATGGGGACAAAACTTCCTGGCAATTCAATTGCAACTCGCCAATTTACTAAGAATAAGTTATGCTTGTTCTCACTGCCACCAACCTCATCAATTACATAAATGAACAATTACTTAGAAAGAAAAATTTCAGCCATGCTGCATAAAGAAAACATGAATAAAATATTGTGTGGTAAAGTTCTTCCCTAGAGTAAAAAATTATCAATAAGTAGATTGAATATCAAAATAGAGAGATACTGCTTACTGAAAAGACAGGAGAAATAAAGAAACTCATAAAGAGATACTGTGAATATTAATATGGCAAAAGGACTTATTAACTAAGTGATAAAGCAGTGTACAAATGCCAATTATTATGTCGGGGTCCAAAACCTGAAAAGAATATAAGGTTCTCTTGTGGGTAAATAAAGTACTTGAGGGCATATACACATGTTCACTTTTGGGTTTGGGAGTGATAACCAATTTTTTAATGTCTAAATAGAAATCACTGAGTGAATTTTTTAAATGATTTAAAATAAATTTACAGCATTGTATAAATTACAGCATTGTGGGGAAAAAATCACTACCTTCTAATTCTAGAATCTTTCAGCACCACAAAAAGAAAAGAAACCTTGTGTACCTGTGTAGTCACTCCTCATTTCCAGTCCCAGTCCTAACGCAACCACTCCATTTTTCTATCTCTAAATATTTGCTTTTTTCCTAGATATATCATGTACATAGAATCATGCAGGACATATATGGTCTTCTGCATCCGACTTCTTCCTCTGAGCATAGCGTTTTTGAGGATCATCCATGTTGTAGTATGTATCAGTACTTCGTTCCTTTTTATTCCTGATGTATAGATATGCCAGATTTTGTTTACCTTGTCACAAGTTGATAAACGTTTGGATTGCTTCCAGTTCGAAATTATAAATAATATTGTTATGAACATTTGCCCACAAGTCTTTGTGTGAACATATGTTTTTATTTCTCTTTGGGCAGACACCTAGGAATGGAATTGCTGGGTCACAATAAATTATGGTTAATTTTTTTTAAGAAACCGCCACACTGTTTTCCACAGTGGCTGTACCATTTTACATTTTCACTAGCAGTGTATGGGATTTCCAGTATCTCCACATTCTTGCCAACACTTAATATTTGTCTGTCTTTTTAAATAGCCATCCTGGTGGGTGAGAAGTGACATGTGGTTTTGAGTCATATTTCTCTAATGACTAATGACATCAAGCAGCTTTTCATGTGTTAATTGGCTGTTAATATATCATCCTTGATGAAATACCTATTGATAAATATCTTTTGCCCATTTAAATAGGTTGTCTTCTTACTGAGTTCTAAAAGTTCTTGTATATTCTAAACACAAGTCCTTTACTAGATATATGATTGGCGTGAATTTTCTCCCAGACTGTGACTTATCTTTTCACTTTCTAATGACATCTTTTGAAGCTCAAAAGTTAATTTTGATAAGGTCCAATGTATTAACTTTTTTCTTTTACGGATCATGCCTTTGGTGTCATATCTAAGAAATGTTTGCCTAACACAAGGTCACAAAGATTTATATGTATATTTTTTTCTTCTAAGAGTTTTACATTTAGGTCTATTTGTGTATAGTATAAGGTACGGGTCTAAATTCATCTTTTTGCATATGGATATCCAATTGTCTCAGCAACATTTTAAAAAATATTATCCTTTCCTTCACTGAATATGTCAAAAATGAATTGACCATAAATGTAAAGGTTTATTTATGGACTCTCAATTCTGTTCCATTGCTCTATATGTCTATCCTTATGCCAGTACCACAGTCTTTATCACTGTAGCTTTATACGAAGATTCAAAATTTGGAAGTTTAAGTACTCTAACTTCGTTCTTCTTTTCTAAGATTGCTTTGACTATTCTTGGACCTTTGTATTTCCATATGAATTTTAAGATGTTTTTTTAATTGCAAGGAAAAAGAAAGCCAGCTGGGATGTTGATAGGGTTTCCATTTACTCTATAAGTCAATTGGGAGAGAACTGTCATCTTAATAATATTGTCTTCCAATCTATGAATATGAAATGTCTCTTCCTTTATTTACATATTCTCTAATTTCTTTTAACAATGTTTTATCATTTTCAGCATACAAGTCTGGCACTACTTTTCTTAAATTTATTACTAGACATTTTATTTTTTGATGCTGTGGTGAATGGGTTTTTTGAAGTTCAGATTGTTCATTATTAGTTTATAGAAATATAGTTGATTTTTGTATATTGATCTTATATCTTGCAACCTTGATAAATTCTTTTATTAGCTTCAGCAGTGTGTATGTATGTGCACATGTACACATTCCTTAGAATTTTCTACACACAAGATCATGTTGCCTGTGAATAAAGACAGTTTTACTTCTTTCTTTCCAATCTCAATGCCTTTTATTTATTTTTCTTTCCAGACTGGACTATCTAAAACTACAGTACAATGTTGATGAGACGTGGCAAGAGCTGACGTTCTTATGTCATTCTCAGTCTTAGGGGGAAAGCATTCTGTCTTTTACCACTAATTATGCTGCTGGTTATGGGGTCATCATACATGCCCTTTATTTCTCTTGTTGAAAATTCTTATCATGAACAGGTGTTGGATTTTTCAAATACTTTTTATGCATCTATTGAGATGATATGTAATTTTGTCCTTAATTTTTTTTTTTATTTTTATTTTTTATTTTTTTTGAGTTGGAGTCTCACTCTATCGCCCAGACTGGAGTGCAGTGGCCGCTCCCGGCCACCACAGCCTCGACCTGCTGGGCTCCAGCGATCCTTCCGCCTCAGCCTTCCAAATAGCTGGAATTACAGGCATGCGCTACCACACACGGCTGACTTTTTTTTTTTTTTATTGAAGAGATGAGGTCTTGCTGCCCAGGCGGGCTTAATTTTTTTAATATTGTATATTATGTGGATTGATTTGGGGGAATGTTAAACCAGTTTTGTGATCTTGGGATAAATCCCCTGTGGTCATATCATTTAATCCTTTTTATCTGTTGCTGGAATTGTATTGATAATATTTTGTTGAGAATTTTTGCAACTATAGCTAAAAATAAAATCACTCTGTGGTTTTCTCTTCTTGTGATGCCTTTGCCTGGCATTGGTATCAGGATAACACTGACCTCAGAGAATGAGCTGGAAAATGTTCCTACTTCCTATATTTTCTGAAAGTTTGTGAAGGATTGGTTTATTTTATATACGCAATCTTTGTAGTCTTCAATGTAGAAAATGTGCACATTTTTGTTGGATCTATTTCTGGTTATTTAATTTTAAAATGTTATTAGAAATGGTATTTTAAAAATTATTTCTAATTATCGCAATTTATAGAAATATTACTGATCTTTGTGTATTGACCTTGTATCCAATGACCTTCTAAATCCTATTATTGATTCTAATGTTTTCTGGGAAGATATTTTTGGATTTTCCAGTAACAAAATCATGTCAACTGAAAATAACATCAAGAGAAAGCGTAGGTAAAAAGGCAGGGCGCAAATTATTTCTGGGTGAGAGGAAGCGAGCCACACGTGACATACTCAAGTCATCACGACAGCAGAGTTGGTGGCAGCATTTGGAGGCAGCACATGCAGCAGATGCATGATGGGAGCGGAACGAAAGCAGCCTTGCTATATATTCTGCATCCCTCTCAATACAGAAGAGGGTCCTGCTCCCCACGTTCAGCCCTGCCGGCTCCTGGTTCCCTCCCTCTACTCTCCTTCTTATCGAGACCCTTCTCCATGGCAAGGCACAAGGTGGCGGGGGTGGAGAGTTGGAAAGTCCCATTCTGAAACCATGCACTATGCAACTGTCAGGCATTTGATCGCCTTGATCCTCCAGAGTGTGAACGGGGACTTTGAATCATTCATCTGTGTTTAGCTCAAGTGCCCAACACAGGGCCCAGCGTGGGTTATGTAATCAGTTCTTACAGTATTATGATAATTGCTCAAGGTCCGTTTATGAGTAAGAACATATGGTACTCTGTTCTTTGTGTACTCAATTCTCAACCCACACTATTTGTTTATTGATCTCTAGCTGGCCAGTATAGCAATGACTTTTAAACAGTCAAATATTTGGAGTGATTAGCACTATTGTATAGTCCTCCATTAAAGAAAGTGAAGATTTCATTGTTTTTAATTACATGACTTCTTCAATATTCTAATAGAACCTGAGGCGGGTTCATCTATCTTTTCCGAAGTGGCTCAGCTAGCACACTTCCCAACAGCCCTGCTCCGTGCTGGAGTGTGCCTGTGCTACAGACTCGCTGGGCAAACTCAGGTTCATTGCTTAGCCCAGGAATCTCTCTTTCCTCATCCCTCCTGTGGAGATAATACTAATGTCTACCTCAGAGAGGTGTTGAGAGAATTAAGTGAATGCATAAGACAGTGCCTGGCACATGATAAGCACTCATTATTATTCATTCTGAGAGACCCAGTCATATAGGCCTAAATATAAATTAAAATAGGAGCACAGGACCCTACATCTCTGAATCAACACTGCACTTGGAAACTCCAAGCAATGGCATTAGGCTGACAAAGGCAGGAGCTGGAGTCTCCAGCACAAACAGCAAACTGCAAACCAGGAGGCCATCTCCAGGCAACCCGGGCTTCTCCCCTGAGTGCTGCCCTCGCACTCCCAGATGTCCCTTCAACTGCACTGTTTGGGAGGTTGATGCCGAGGCTAAGATCCCTCTAAGTCTAAGGAAAAACCATCCAACTCCCTCCTCATTATTTACTAGAGATTCAATTATTGAATGTGCTTAGTAAATAATGAACTGGGGAAATGTTGCTATATAACAGAAGTATCCAAATGTTGCTTTCCAAAATAAACATTAAAGGGAGATGGTAGCTAATGTTTAAAGAAAGAAAAAACAATTTGAAAATTCATGAATTAGGCTCTCTTTATAGTTCAATTTAAAAATGAAACAGGCTATTTTGGAACTAACAAAATGTTCCTGCTCTGGGCAACAAATTGTTTAAGAACTGATATGCTCTATTAGGGTGGGGAAAGTTCAACAGGTCTGTGTTGTTTGTTTATTAAACAGTTGATAGTGACTAGTTGCTCCATTCTTAATGATTTTGCCACACATTGTTCTCATCACTATCAGCATTTATCTATCTGTATTGCAATTAATTTTACATCATCTGTCCTCCCAACTATACTCAACTCTTGAGATCAGGGCTTATATCCCCAAGCACTCAGAACAATTCCCAGCATATAACAGGAGCTCATAAAAGTTTGTTGGATAGATACATGAGTGAATATAAAAGTTTTGCTGGTCTTGTTCTGAGTGTTATCATTCTTGGAAACAATGAGCGTTTCACCAAAGAAGAGCTTCAAAATCTTACAGAGTTGATTATCAGTAATGCTTTCTTCAACGATGTGTAGCAGTCTTCAGCATTTCTAAATAACTTTGTGATGATATTTTCCTTGTGAGATTGATTTCTAGAGTTAATGCTACAAGAGGATTAAGAGAAAAACGAGTAAGATTATGTCTTGAACTTTGTTCTTTACTATGTAAAAAACAAGCACCCCCAAAACAACTGTAATAACACTTTACTTGTGGGTGATTCTTTTTCCCAAGGTGTGGTGTATTTGTGTGGGCTTAGCCATTACTGGGTTAGTGTTGTACTTCATAAAGGAGACACCATGGATGTAGCTCCCACAGGTGTCGCTGTGTCTCGCTGTACCATCATCCCTCTCCCCATGAAGACCTACTCTGGTCATCCATCTCACAAATCTGTAGTTTTGGTCTCAAAAAAAGTCCAGTAAAGATACCATGGATCACTTCTGAGTCCTCAGTAGCAGTGAGAAAGTGGAAGTCACCCCTCCTTTATGGGCAGCATATTGTAGCACATTTGTGCATGTGATAACCAAAACCACAAATTGCTAGGTTTAAAGCAGTGATAACCAGAAACACAAATTGCTAGGTTTAAAGCAGTGAGGACAGTGACCTTCACAACCTCTCCCTCTGCGTTGGCATTGGCCATGACCATCTACATTGCCAGACCCTTCATCCCCTCTATTGCCTCTTTCTTTTATCACCAGAGCTCAGGGTCCATCAGTCTACATGTGTGCTCTTGAAGGCCATAATCACCCCCTAGTTGGACATCAAAACCAACTTCAGTGTAGAATCTGCTCAGAATGGGAGACTGTGAGAGTCTCAAAACAAAATACTGTCTGCCACTTCCCTTTTCTGAATGTTCAATTAGATGTTTTTATATTTCCCACTAAATAATGAATAAACAGTGAATCAATTTACCTGTGGAACCATTCTCACATTTGTCTGGGGGTTTTGTTACTGCATCTGTAATACCATCTTAGCTTTTTTCCAGCTGTACAAAACCATATAAGCACATACCTTTTCAGAAACATATTCTGGCATCTTGAATCTGAGTTCCTTAGGGGATTCATTGCAACCTATTTTTTCTAAAGACCACTAGCACTGGCTTTACTGGATACTTTTTACAGCAGTTTTTAATCCACCATGTACCACTGGCACGGGGCCCAGATAGCTCTTTGTTGTGGGGGACTCACTGCAGGATGTTGTGCAGCATCCCTGGTCTCTACCTACTAGATATCAGTAGCGGGTTTGGATCATAATACTGAAAGACGCAATCCTGAATGATGTAATCCCAAAAGTGGAAATCCTGAAAGATCAAAATTCCTAAAGCCTAAAATCCCCAGAATCACAATCTTGAAAGATTTTATCCTGAATGTTGAAATTCTGAAAGACAAATTCTGGTGAAGGGATTTGTACTTTTCAATTGTAAACAGAATAGTTACATCATGGCAGGTGGAACTATTCCCTTGTTATTAAAATTTCTTTTTCTTTTTTTTTTTTTTGAGTTGGAGTCTCACCCCATCACCCAGGCTGGAGAGCAGTGGCATGCTCACGGCCACTCCAGTGTCAACCTGCCGGGCTCAGCCAATCCTTCTGCCTCAGCCTTCCAAGTAGCCAGAACTACAGGCACATATTACCATGCCCAGCTAGTTTTTTTTTTTTTTCTGATTTATTGTAGAGATGAGGTCTCATCAAGTTGCCCGGGCTGGTCTTGAACCCTCAGGCTCAAGTAATTCACTCCCCTCAGCTTCTCAAAGTACTGGGATTACAGGCTGAGCAACAGAGCCTGGACAATTACCTTGTTATTGTCTTTATATGTAAATTAAGGAAAGGCATATGAATGCCCAGTTGACAAGGGTTAGATTTGTGGACTTACCTTTAGGTGTCAACCTGACTGGATGAAGGAATACCTAGAAATCTGGCAAAGGATTATTTTGGATGTGTCTGTGAGGGTACTTCTGGAAGAGATGAGTGTGTGAGTCTGAGCAGACTGGGTGTGGAAGATCTACCCACAGTGTTCTTGGCCACCATCCAATCTGCCAGGGCCCAGAGAGAACAAAGAAGGTGAACTGGCTTTTCTCTGAGAGCTAGGACAGACTTTCCTTCTGCTGCCTTGGACACCAGAAATCTGACTTCACAAAAGCACATTATCATAATGTTGACTTTGTGTGTAAGAATTGTGTGTATATAAAAATATTGAAACTTCCTTAATAAATGAAGAGATGTCACTTTTGTACAGCTGCATTTGCAAAGGATAAAATGTCTTGAGATCTTGACTCTGGCACATGCGGTATGACCCTCATGGTTTTTTTTTTTTTTTTTTTTTTTTAGTCAATCTTGTCTTTTGACTGTCATATATTTCAGATGACTGCAGTTATAAAGTAGAGTGCACACAATTACCAACCACAGTGATATCCATTTTGCTTTCTGACTGATTTCTTTATGAATACAGTTCAGCTGCTCATAACTGGTATACCCATGTGACTGTCATTAGTAAACCTGGGTATCTATGCTCACAAAAATATGTAGCCATTATTGCCTATTTTATTGTGTCAGGTGGCCTATGAAGTATTTTGTATTTGTGTATATTTCTCAAATAAATTCTCCTTTTAAAATGTCAATAAATATCTTTAAAATTATTTTTTCCAGAATTATTTTTGGGATTTTTGATCTTTCAGAACTTCAACATTCAGGATCATGGCCCTCAGGATCATGGCACCTGGGATCATGGCATTTGGGATCCTGGCCATTGGGATTGCGTTTTTATGATGGCTCCCATCAGTAGCAATCCCATTCTCAAATGCCTCGTGACATTGCCAAATATCTCCTAGATGGCAAAATTGCCCCCAGTTGAGAACCACTGTTTTAAAATAAATAAAACTTTAATTTTACTTCTGACAGTTCTAGACAAGGTACTATCAGATAAGAAAAGCATAAAGAAATGGATTTAGCTTCACTAAAGTAATGAAGGCACAGAAGTGTCTTTGGAGCAGAGAGGGGGCTCTGAATACCTGGAGGCTGGCAATAGAGGCAGTTCATTAAATATTCATAAATCCATGAGACAGGGATGGGACACATGAAATGGGAATTGACACTGTGGTATATTTTACTTTATAGTAGAGCATAGTGCTTTCACTGAAGGTGCCAAGATTATAAAACCTTTTTTTTCTTTAAGGTTCATATAGGGCAATCAATACAGGATTCAACTCAACCTAAACAAAGTACTTCTTGGAGCAAAAGTATAAATTCTAAAATGGCACAATATTAAGTACTTTTTAAAAAAAATTTGGGGTCCCACCACAATTTATGTGATATTGTAAATAGGAAGTTATAGTAGACTTTGGAATGAAAACAGAAATAATGATGCCCAAGGCAAATAATCCCCATGACCCATGATATCTTATCAGCAGAGTGTGGCTGGAAAACAAATTAACATATGTTGTTCCTTTCCACATAACAAATACGTATTTATATATAATTTTACAAAGACATACTCAGAGCCTGAGAGCAGTGCTCTCAGGGACCGTGTGTGTGGCTGGAGCATTGGGGCTCTGTTGCTGCCACCACACACTGAGCAGGTGACCAAACTAAGAATTTATAGTCCTATTTTTTCATTTGGAAATTGAATTAATAATTATACCAACTTTATAGTTTAAGGCAATTTTAAATAAGAAAAATGTATGAAAAATAATAACTCATGTAAAAGTTAGAAATTATTTGATGGAGACTAAGCAGCCATTCAGTAAATGAAGAAAAAGTAACTCAGATATTCTCTAGCCTTTAACGTATTGTGATATGTGTAACTATAATTTGATTCTTTTTTCTTTCTTTGCCTCTTTTTTTTTTTCTTTTTGAGTTGGGGGTCTCACTCTGTCACCCAGGCTGGAGTGCAATGGCATGATCACGATGAACATGGGCTCATGGCAGCCTCAACCTCCTGGGCTCAGGCCATCCTTCTATCCCAACATCCCAAGTAGCTGGGACTACAGGCATGTGCCACGATGCCCGGTTAAATTGTTTGATTTTTTAGTAGAAATAGGTCTATCTATGCTGCCCAACCTGGTCTCAAACGCCCAGGCATAAGCAATCCTCCTGCCTCGGCCTCCCAAATGGCTAGTATTACAGGTGTGAGCCACTGTGTCTGACCTGATTCATTTTCTTTACATACCTATTTCTTTTTGTCAAGGAAGCTGTACTGCTAAATGCCAACCCCTGAGGCTCATAAAATGATGTTAGAAATTGCTTCCAATTGATTTTAGTGGTGGGTTTAAGTCCAAACCTAGATTAAAAACAAAACAACAAAAATATTAATTTAAACATTTTTTCTATAATACTCTATGGATTAGGTGCCTAATATTGAATTGAAAATGGCAGCAATGAATTTATATGAGGTTTTAAATCTATGGTAAACAAAATCATTTTGTAATATAGTACTATCAATTGGCTTTTTCAAAGCAAGAAAAAAATCTAACAGATTTTACAACTCCATATCTGTACATTCTGTTAGTGGTAGCATACATTGAAGAAAGAAAATGATTTGATTAAAATTCTAATATGCATAACATAATTGTGTCAAATTCATATTTGAAGAGCTCAATTATTTGGGTAGGTAGAATAATGGCCCTCACTGTGTTCATGTCCTAATCCTGGGAATCTGTGAATACATTCACATACACGGCAAGAGGGACTTTGTAGATGTGATGAAAGGAGGACCTACAGATGAAGAGACATTCCTGGGATATCCAGGTAAGTCCAGTCTAATCACGTAAGTTCTTAAAACTGGAGAACTTTTGCCACCTGCCGTCATTAAAAGATGTGATAACAGAAGGACTAGCGACACGACACTGGTGGCTCTGAAGATGTAGGAAGGGACTGTGAATCGATGAACGCAGGTGGCAACTAGAAGCTGGAAAAGCAAGAAGTTGGTTTGCCCCAGATCCTTGGAAGGAACAAAGCCCTGTTGACACCTTGACTTTAGCCCATGGAGATCTATGTTGGGATTCTAACCTACCAAGCGTTAAGATAGTAAATGTGTGTTGTTTTAAGCCACTAGGCTTGTGTACTTTGTTTTGGCAGCAATAGAAAACTAGCATAGATTAAAAGTCTTAGCAAGCATAAGTAGTTGGAAAATTGTTTAAAAACAAATTTCCAGAGTTGTTATGGTCCCTATAATTTCAAAGTTATAAGATACCAGTAGGAGTAACCTGATGTGAACATAGTTTTGGGATTCAGAAAGGCCAGAGTACAAATCCCCACCCCTTCACTTGCTACAGATGTGACCTCAGACAAGTTGCTCTCTATTCTGATTCTCTATTCTTCTCATCTGCAACATGAGAATAATAATATCTACTGTGAGAGTTGTAATAAGAACTAGAGCTAATAGACCAAAAGCCTCGGTTGTAGACTGGATAACCAGCAAAGTGTTCAATCACATAACTTGACCCACCATGTATGTTACTTATATGCCAAGCATATCCATCCTTTTATAACAGGATGGTGAAAAGTGGTTTTGATTGAGAACCTTGGATAACAGATATGAGATACTGAATGCGCATGAATGGGTATCTCATTTCTGCCCTGTTTTGATTGCTAAAAATTAGTGGCTGAGAGAGAACTGGCTAGACAAACTTAAAGTCTTTACCTACATCTATAGTCCAGATTATAGAGGATGAGAGAGAGAATTTTTGGAGACAACTTTTTGGTATGCTTGAGTCCCAACCCCAGCACAAAGGTGCCTACTCCTCACCTGAAGCCTTGTGAAAATGGCTGTTTCCACTTGAGGAGCTTGATGCCTGTCCCCTGCAATTGAAGGTATGATGTATTGGTGCCTGACTCCCACACAGAAAGCTTGCAGGTGAGAGACAGCTGGCTAATCATAGGGGGGAAATGGGGAATAGGTAGAGCTGTTGGTTGGCTTGCTCCATCAGAGTCATCAGAAAAATAATTCCTGAGGGTTTCATCTGGATCAGATGTGGGCCATGTATGAGTATGAGAAAAAGAGCATGTACACACACACACACACACACACACACACACAGACACACACAGGCATCTTAGTTCCTGCCTAAGAAGGCCACTTGGAGAAATGAACAGACCTTAATAGAGAGGTCCTCCTTCTCTATTCCCAGATTCTCAGGGTCTGAGAAGGAAAAAAACAATCAACTGGGCTAGAGATGCATTTTCCTTCCTCAAACGTGAAATCCAAAACCCAACAAAGGCACTCATGAAAGGGAATACCTTTAAACACTTGATAGGCCCTGGAATGCAGCTTCAAGCTCATAGCAGTGCCCGTCAAGTAAGAACATTCATGCTCCCCTTTCTTTCTCTTCTTCCTCTGTGTATTTCAATTCCTGCAAGAGTCAGAAACGGAGTTTACAAAATGAGGAAGGAAGAGAAGTGCAAAGTAAGGAAAGGGAGAAGCTGCCTTGCGTCCCCTTTATTCCTGCATGCAAGGGACCCTAACTTGGGGGAGGGAATACAATTTGCATTTAGATTGAGCTTACAGCTTTGACTGCTAGGTGAAATTCTTTGTATGATACAAAACAAATCTGAAAAATCAAGGTCTGCTCATGTTTTCATGGGGCAAAAGAACTAATCCAACTGAGCAAACTTAAAGGGGCAGTGCACAATTAAGTTGCTTTAAGATTATAGCCCCCTAAGTATGGCCAGTTCAACTTAGGTTACCTATCCAACCAGTCAACTATCCATTCATTCATACATCCACATATAGTACCAAGCTACCATGTTCTTCCACTTGGATTATTGTAGTAATCTCCTAATTGGTCTCCTTGTACCTACTCTTGCCTTTCTCTAATATCATTCCATACTTCTGCCAGCCTGATCTTTTTAAACTGTAAATCTGACCATATTACTCCCTTGCTTAAAATCTTTCCACGTCTTCCTATTGCTCTTAGGATAAAAACTACACTCCTTCTGAAACATACAAGCCTGAATTGTTTGTCCTGGCTCACCTCTCTAGGCTCATCCATGGCATGCTCACCGGTTCTTTTAACTCCAGCCATATTGGTCTTTCAGTTCTTCAAAAGGACTGTGCTCTTCCCTGACCTAGGCTCTTGACACTTTTGCTTCCTTTGCTGACTGCTATGTCCCAAATAATTTTCACTAGAGAAAGAGGAAATCCTGGAAGGGAAAGAGGCAGAGAGGGAGCCCCAAATTCTATCTCATCACATTTCTTACTGTCTTCTAAACCTCACATGCTCAGAAAATACTCAAAACAGCTTAGCTAAACATGAAAGATCTGAACTAAGATCAGAGTTATCACCTGAGAAACAGAGTATGAAGTTTGAATCCAAAAAGATAACTGTCTACTAAAATGAAAGAAACAATATTCACTGGACAAAAATCACCAAATTTAGAGTCTTCACAATTTAACATTCCAAATGTCCAGGATAAATTCCAAAATTACAGCACATAAGAACAACCAGAAAAAATAAAACATATAATAAGGAGAAAAGATAATAAACTGAAATAACACAAATATTGGCATTAACACTTAGGATTTTAAAAGCAATGATCATAACTATCCTCAATGAAATCAAGAAAAATATGCCCACAATAAATCAAAAGATAGAAAATCTTAGCAAAGAATTGACATAATAAAACAAACTAAATGGAAATTAAAAAAAAAAAAAAAAGGAAATTCCAGAACAGAAAAATATACTCTCAGAAGTACAAAAAATTCACTGAATGGACTTAACAAAAGAATGCAGAAGACCGATAAAAGAGTGAGTAAACTTAAGTGTAGATCAACTGAAACCATCCAATATGAAGAATGCAAAATACACATATATTTATAAAATTAACAGAGACTCAAAAACATGTTATATAATACCAGAAATTCTGACATAGAAGTAATTGGAGTTATAGAAAGAAAGGAGAGAAAGAATGGAACAGAAAAATAGTTGAAGAAATAAAGGTCAAAATTTCTCCAAACTGAATTTTAAAATATACATTTACAGATCTAAGATACAAAACAAACACAAAGTATAATATGTATGAAAAAGGCCATGCCAAGGCACATCACAGTTACAAAGTTGAAAGTCAAATTCAAAGGAGAAATCTTGAATGTAACAAGAGAAAAATGACAGGAGGACAATTTTACAGATGACTTCTTATCCAATACAATAGAAGCCAAAAGATGTGGAACAATGTCACAAAGTGCCAAAAGAAAGAAAAAGTTACTAGACATTTTCTATCTAAGGAAATACCCTTCAAGGCCGGGCTCAATGACTCTGCCTGTAATTCCAGTGCTTTGGGAGGCTGAGGTGAGTGGATTACCTGAGCCTGCAGGTTTGAGACCCGCCTGGGCAACTTGGTGAGACCTCATCTCTAAAAAAGATCAAAAAATTAGCCGGGCGTGGTAGTGCGCGCCTGTTGTTCCAGCTACTTGGAAGGCTGAGGCGGAAGGATTGCCAGAGCCCAGGAAGTCGAGGCTGCAGTGGCTGGGAATGGCCACTGCACTCCAATCTGGGCAACAGAGTGAGACTCCAACTCAAAAAAAAAAAAAAAAATACCCTTCAAAAATGAAGAAGAAATAATAAAATTTCTTAAAGAAATAAAAAGAAATAAAAGTAAGGGAATTCATCATTAGTACATTTCTACCTCAATAAAGGCTAAAGGGAAATAATAGCAGATGAAGACCTTGACTCCTCAGAAAGGAACAAAAAAAGTGTCAGAAAGCTTAAGTATATAAAAAAATACAAAAGACTTTCTTCTATCTTTTTCTTAATCTCTTTATGGCTACTGAAAGCAAAATATTTTTATTTATTTGTTTGTTTTTGTTTTTTGGGTTTACCTCAAGAAGGCAAAAAGTTGACTTAGTGTTTGAAAGTCAATCAATGCAATTCGCCATATTAATAATGAAGAAAAACTACATGTTCATCAGAATAGACGTAGGAAGCCGGGCTCGGTAGCTCAGCCTGTAATCCCGCACCTTTGGGAGGCTGAGGTAAGTGGATTGCCTGAGCCCGCAGGTTCGAGACCTGCCTGGTCAACTTGGCGGGACCTCATCTCTACAATAAATCAAAAATTAGCTAGGCATGGTAGTGCGCCTGTAGTTTCAGCTACTTGGAAGGCAGAGGCGGAAGGATCGCCGGAGCCCAGCAGTTCGAGGCTACAGTGGCCGGGAGCGGCCACTGCACTTCAGTCTGGGCAACAGAGTGAGACTTCAACTCAAAATAGACACAGAAAAGGCGTTTGACAAAATTCAACATACATGAAAAAACTGTCAGCAAACAGATAATGCAATAAAATTCTTTA